CATGTTTAAGGTTACATAAATAATCAAGGAATTTTATTTGATATTCATAAAATATTCATAAATATATCACATAAAATGATGAATAAACTCTTTTATTAAATAAATAATAAATATCCTTTTACATCTTATGCTTCTAGGACACTATTCCCAACAATCTCCCACTTGTCCTAAAGTAGGTGTGTCATGTCTCTAATCCCAAATCCATCTAAGTGCCGATCAAATACATTCAATGGCAATGTCTTGGTGAACGAGTCAGCAAGGTTGTACTCTGACGCGATCTTCAAAACCGCTACATCGCCTCTATCCACAATGTCTCTGATCAGGTGATATTTCCTTTCTATATGTTTCGCACTCTTATGGCTTCTAGGTTCCTTTGAATTAGCCACCGCTCTACTGTTGTCACGGTAGAGCTTAATTAGCTTATCCATATCTGGAACAACTTCCAGATCAGTTAAGAACTTCCTGAGCCATGTAGCTTCTTTTACGGTTTCACAAGCTGCAACATATTCAGCTTCCATGGTAGAGTCAGCAACACACTTTTACTTTATACTTCTCCATACCACGGCTCCTCCATTAAGAGTGAACACAGATCCAGATGTCGACCGTCGACTATCTCTATTCGATTGGAAATCAGAATCTGTGTATCCGGTGAGAGACAGATCTTCTCCGGAATATATCAACATATAGTTTCTCGTTCTCCTAAGATACTTGAGAATACACTTTACTGCAACCCAATGATCTAGGTGCTATAATCTCAGTTTTTTAGGACCTAGGTGATTCAAGAGTTGCTAGTCACAGTTTCTACACGCGCACTTAGGGGAGGATCAATTTCTGGGGAAAGGTCTAAGATGAATTGAACTAGAGAGTCATGAGTGTTGATATTGAACAAAGGTTTAGGATGGAAAAGCAACTTTGAGGGCTGAGGGTTGACTACATTCACAGCAGAAACCAGATTTTTAGAAGGATAGTAGAGTCTTGCAGTTGTCCTCTTGTGTTTTATTGTGTTTTATTTTGTGCCATTACTCGAGGACGAGTAATGGTTTAGCATCGAATACCTGATAACACTATGAAAATAGAGTTAATTGAGCATTTCCCAGGCTTAAATTATTACCTAGAGGGTAATTAGTATTAGTTTTCTCCTTTATTTTATCTTGTTAATTGTTTTTAGTTATTTGTGATTTATAAATTTTCTCTCTCGTGATTAGAGTTTAAAAAGAGCTAATTCAGGTGCGCTTTGTGGTTAATCTCAGCTTTAAGAGAACATGGCCGTTTGGAGCTTTGAACAGCTTTTCGTTTCTGGAGTATGAAGGAATCCAGGTCAGCATTGCTGTGCATTGTCGCAGCAAGACGAGCTGGGCCAGATGTGTGTTTTGCTGACAGCTGGGCCTGAGCTGGTTAATAGGCTGATTTTGTCCGTGAAGGGTGCTGATTGAGCCACTCATTGGAGGCTTTCTCATGTGCTACCACGTGGAATTAGGGTACAATAAGTACCTGCAGTTGAGAAGAAAGAAGGGGTCCTTGGTCATATTTTGTAACGTTGAGGTGGCTGAACTTGGAAAAGGAAACCACCTCCATTTCTCTGATCAAGTACCTGCTCTAGTACTGGAAAGAGGAAGAAGAAAACGTCACAGGGTGTTGAACGTAAAGGAAGGTCCATTGTTGATGCAGGAAGAGCTAGAAGAAACCTTGGAAAAGGGGGATTCAGATTCTCTCCTTATCACCTTAGTTTTTCTTACTCCCAATACTTTGTTTTACCTTGTTAAAGAACATTTACGTTTCTCTATAAATCTGAACTCGAATCCATATATAACTCTATGAGATTATGATTTGTTGGCTGAGATTGTTGAGTTGTTAAATATTGAAAGGTTAGTTGATGTTGAATGGATCTAATGATTATTTCTTTGTTTATTCAAGTGAGCTGAATTTGTGCCTTAACTGTGATTGGGAAATCATAAGAGAGGAGTATAGCTTTAATTAGATCTGGGAAGATTTAGTTGAGTGGACACAGCTTGAATAGTGCAGGTTCTTAGATCTTGTTTTAGATTTTTGATTCACATGATATAGGAATATATTGTGTCTTGCATAACCATATGATTTAGAGCTTCATTCTCTGATTTTAGAGTCTAGATTTACAAAGGGATTTGTGGGATTTAGCTTTAAGATCAGTAGACAGAGGATTGGAAAATCCCTGGTTTAGTAAATCTGGTTAACAGGAAGTCTTTGTTGCCGTCCGTTGCTGTAGCATCGCGCAGCATTATTAGGAGACAGTTTAGCAATTGTGAGCCACGCACAGTGACTTTGGCCAATTTTATTTGCACATTTTGTTATTAATTAGTTTTATCTTTGTTGTTCATTTTCTTACAGTCAAATTATTACTAGTTTTTAACATCTCAAAATCAACTTTAGTTTTCTTCTTAAAACTTGAATAGAATTAACTTAGCAACTTGATTTCAAAAACACTCAATCCCTGTGGGACGATACTTGGTTATTCATCATTTTACTACTTGTTGACTCGTGCACTTGCGAGATTCTAGATTCACAATTTTAGGCAACAAGTTTTTGGCGCCGTTGCCGGGGATTGTCTTATTTGAATCTTATTGTTAAAGTAATTTACTATTCAAGTATTTTTGTTCATTTTCATTAGAGTTTCTGATTTTTGGCAGGTCTTTGGAACATCTTGTATGCAAGAACCTGAGTTATTCCTTCTTGACCCAGAAATTGAAAGGACTGTGAGAAGGAGAAGAAAGGAGCAGCGAGGATTTGCTCACAGACAGGAAATGGCTGAGGAAGATGCTCAGGGGATCTTATTAAATCAGGGGCAGCAACTTAACGCTCTTGAGCCAGCCTAGAGACCATTTGTGGTTGATGACCGTGATCGAGCTATCAGAGATTTTGCAATCCCGGTTCTTGATGGGCTGAATCCTGTGATTGTTCGGCCAAACATCCAAGCCCCACACTTTGAACTTAAACCGGTCATGTTTCAAATGCTACAGACCGTGGGACGATTCAGCAATATGGCAACAGACGATCCTCATCAACATTTGAGGTTATTCATGGAAGTTAGCGATATATTCAAGCTACCGGGGGTTCCTCCAGAGACTTTAAGGCTGACACTTTTCCCTTTCTCTTTGAGGGATCGAGCTAGAGCTTGGTTTAATAGCCTACCTGCTGATTCCATTGTTACATGGAATGATATGGCTGAGAAGTTTCTTATGAAGTATTTCCCTCCGACAAAGAACGCCAAGTTGAGAAATGACATTACCTCTTTTCATCAAGGAGATGAAGAGTCAGTTTATGCGGCATGGGAATGATTTAAGGAGCTACTCAGAAAGTGTCCATTACATGGTATTCCCCATTGGATTCAAATGGAGACTTTTTACAATGGTCTCAATGAACAAACGAGAATGATGGTGGATGTCGCAGCTAATGGTGCTCTTTTGGCAAAATCTTATAATGAAGGCTATGAGATTTTGGAGATAATGGCCACAAATCATTATCAATGGCCAACTGAGAGACTACCCACAAGGAAAACACCGGGAGTTCTTGAAGTAGATGCAATTACCGCTCTTTTGGCTCAAGTGTCAAATTTGACCAACATGTTCAAAACTATGAACACTTCAACTGGAGTGAATTCTGTCCAGGCCCTCACACTCTCTTGCATATACTGTGGAGAGGAGAACCAATTTGAGGAATGTCCTTCGAATCCCGCTTCAGCTTGTTATGTGAGTAACTACAACCGCAACAATGCTTACAGCCATCAATACAACCAAGGATGGAGACAACATCCTAACTTCTCTTGGAGTAATCAAGGGGCAGCTTCTAGTGGTGCTCCCCATTATAATAGGCCTGCTCAACAGTCGGGTTTGCCACAACCAGCTCAACCAATGTGGATTCAAGCGGGTGAAAATCCAAATTCTTTGGAGAATTTTCTTAAGGAGTACATAACGAAGAATGAGGCTAAAATGCATAGCCATGATGCAACCTTGAGAAGCTTGGAAACTCAAATTGGGCAACTTACAAATGCTCTAACCAATCGCCCCCAGGGCACTCTTCCAAGTAATGCGGAAAATCCTAGGCGGGACGGCAAGGAGCATTGCAAAGCCATTTTATTGAGAAGTGGAAAAGCATTGGAGCAGCCAAAGGAGAAAAACGAGCTGGATGAAGAGCCCTCTTCGATCCAAAAGGAAGAAAGGTAGGATGGCCACATGAAACCTGAACAAAATCAAGATGAGGTAGAACCTAATGTTGCTGCAGCAACGCAACAGCAGCAAGAAGCCGCAAGAACGTGCCAGAATAGACCACCACCGCCCTTTCCTCAAAGATTTCAGAAGAAACAACAGGACAAGCAGTTTGGGAAGTTTCTTGACGTGCTGAAACAACTTCATATCAATATCCCATTAGTTGAAGCTCTTGAGCAAATGCCAAATTACGTAAAATTTATGAAAGAAATTCTTTCCAAGAGGAGGCATTTGGGTGAGTTCGAGACAGTGGCACTTACAAAAGAGTGTGGGCTGATTTCTCAAAGCACTTTACCACCTAAATTGAAGGACCCAGGGAGTTTCACAATCCCATGTTCGATTGGCAACACTTATTTTGGTAAAGCCTTGTGTGATTTGGGTGCAAGCATAAATTTAATGCCAATGTCTGTTTTTAAGCAGCTAGGTATTGGTGAAGCTAGGCCAACTACAGTCACCCTTCAACTTGCCGATCGATCATTTGTTCATCCGGAGGGAAAAATTGAGGATGTGTTGGTGCGTGTTGATAAATTCATTTTTCCGGTGGATTTTGTGGTCTTGGATTATGAAGCAGACAATTATTTTGGGTAGACCATTTTTAGCCACTGGAAAGACATTGATTGATGTGTAAAAAGGTAAACTTACTATGCGAGTTGACGATGAGCAGGTCACATTTGATGTTCTCAATGCTATGCGCTTTCCAGATGAGGTTGAAGAATGTTCGGCTGTGGGTGTATTAGATGCTCTTGTGATGGAAGAACTTAATAAGAATGCTTATGAGGAATTAGAGGAAGAGGATGTCACAAACGCTGCATTGGAGGTTGAGCAAGTTGATGATGATTCACCCGCATTACTGGGAGAAACCGATCAAGTGGCTGTTTGTCAAAGAAGACCATTTGAGTCGCTGGATTTATCTGAGAGAAATTTGAAGCCTCCTAGGCCATCAATTAAAGAACCACCGGTGTTGGAATTGAAGCCTTTACGAACTCATTTGAAGTATGCTTATTTGGGTGAGGAAGATACTTTGCCAGTAATCATATCATCCACTTTGGATGAGGAACAGGAGGACATGCTGCTTGAAGTCCTTAGAAAGCATAAAAGGGCTATGGGATGGTCAATAGATGATATTAAAGGGATTAGCCCTTCCCTATGTATGCATAAAATCCTGCTGGAAGATTACTACAGCAATTCAGTGGAACAGCAACGGAGATTGAACCCTATCATGAAGGATGTGGTGAAGAAGGAAATCATCAAATGGCTGGATACAGGGATCATTTACCCAATTTCAGATAGTTCTTGGGTCAGTCCTGTCCACTGTGTACCAAAGAAAGGGGAGTGATAGTGGTGGCCAATGAAAACAATGAATTGATACCCACTAGAACCGTGACTGGTTGGAGGGTATGCATAGATTATAGAAAGCTCAATGCCGCCACTAGAAAGGATCATTTCCCGCTACCGTTTATTGATCAAATGCTGGACAGACTCGCTGGAAAGAAGTTTTATTGTTTCTTGGATGGTTATTCAGGCTATAATCAGATTGCTATCGCACCAGAGGACCAAGATAAAACAACCTTCACTTGTCCATATGGAACGTTCACTTTCCGAAGAATGCCATTTGGTTTGTGTAATGCTCCAGCAACGTTCCAGAGATGTATGATGGCCCTGTTCACTGACATGGTAGAGAAGACTTTGGAAGTGTTTATGGATGATTTTTCCATCTTTGCCGATTGCTTGAAAAATTTAGCTAAGGTGCTTCAGAGATGTGAAGAAACGAACTTGGTCCTCAATTGGGAAAAATGTCATTTTATGGTCACAGAGGGAATTGTCTTGGGCCATAAAGTTTCCCAAAGAGGCATTGAAGTGGATAGAGCAAAAATCGAAGTCATGGAGAAACTACCTCTTCCTACGTCGGTCAAGGGAATAAGGAGTTTTTTGGGGCATGCCGGGTTTTATAGGCGATTCATAAAGGATTTCTCCAAAGCCTCCAAGTCGCTGTGTCTTCTTTTGGAGCAAAACAGATCATTCGACTTTAATGAAGATTGTCAACGTGCATTTTCTGACTTGAAGAGAGCACTTGTGACAACTCCTATGATTGTTGCACCGGATTGGACACTTCCATTTGAGCTGATGTGCGACGCTAGTGATCATGCAGTGGGGGCAGTGCTCGGCTAGAGAAAAGGGAAGCTTTTTCATTCTATTTATTATGCTAGCAGAACACTTACTGATGCCCAATTGAATTATACCACGACAGAAAAAGAACTATTGGCTGTGGTATTTGCTTTTGACAAGTTTCGATCTTATCTTGTGGGGCCGAAGGTGACTGTATATACGGACCCCTCAGCCATAAAATACCTCATCTCAAAGAAAGATGCCAAACCAAGGTTGATTCGGTGGATCTTGTTACTTCAGGAATTTGATCTTGAAATCAAAGATAGGAAGGGAACCGAAAATCAAGTGGCAGACCATCTTTCGAGACTCGAACAAGGAAATGGGGCTGAGTCACATATTCCTATTCAGGAGAAATTTCCTAATGAGCAGCTCCTTGTAGTGCAGCAAGCTTCTTTGCCATGGTATGCAGATTTAGCAAATTATTTGGCGAGTGGCAAGGCACCTCCTGAAATGAGCCGACAGCAGATGAAGCGATTCTTCCATGATATGAAATCTTACTACTGGGAGGAGCCTTTTCTGTATAAACAGGGTGCGGACCAAATTTGGAGGCGATGTGTTCCCCAAGAGGAGACATTGAGTATTTTGCATCATTGCCATGCTTCACCATATGGAGGTCATTTTGGGGGTTCAAGAACTGCTGCCAAGGTATTACAATCCGGTTATTTTTGGCCTACACTTTTTAAAGATGCTTATGAATTTGTCAAGATGTGTGATCGGTGTCAACGTGTGGGAAACATCTCACAACGTCATGAAATGCCCTTGACTAATATCTTGGAAGTTGAGTTGTTTGATGTATGAGGAATTGATTTTATGGGGCCTTTCCCACCCTCATATGGCAACTTGTACATATTGGTAGCAGTTGATTATGTATCAAAATGGGTCGAGGTAGCGGCATTCCCCACTAATGACTCAAAGGTGGTGATCAAATTCTTGCATAAGAATATTTTCACTCGTTTTGGGACTCCACGAGCCATGATAAGTGATGAGGAAACTCATTTTGTGAGCAGACAATTTGAGGGGGTGCTCGCCAAATACGGTGTCAAGCATAAGGTTGCCACAGCATATCACCCCCAGACAAGCGGTCAAGCAGAGATTTCTAACAGGGAAATCAAGGGAATCTTAGAGAAGGTCGTGAACCCGAACCGAAAGGATTGGTCAATGCGATTAGATGATGCACTATGGGCCTACCGGACAGCCTTCAAGACACCTTGGGAATGTCCCCCTACCGTCTTGTTTTTGGCAAGGCATGCCATTTACCATTAGAATTGGAGCACCATGCTTATTAGGCAACAAGGAAGCTCAACATGGACCTACAAGCTGCTGGGCAAGCAAAGTTACTGCAATTAGATGAGTTGGAAGAGATACGGATGTTCTCTTATGAGAACGTAAAGTTATACAAAGAAAAGACTAAAAGATGGCACGACAAGAGGATCAAATCGAGGGAATTTGAACCAGGACAACAGGTGCTGCTATATAATTCAAGGTTGAAATTATTCCCAGGTAAACTGAAATCTAGATGGTCAGGACCATTCACAGTAGCCACGGTTTTTCCACATGGAGATGTGGAGTTACAAGAGTAGATATCCGGGAGAAAGTTCTTGGTAAACGGACAACGTGTCAAGCATTATTGGAGAGGACCTATGGAACGTTCCAAGAGCTCTGTCACATTGAGTGATGACTAAAAAGGGGAAGACGTCAGGCTGAAGACGTAAAAACAAGCACTATTGGGAGGCAACCCAAAGTTTTTAGTTTTTTTTTCATTTCATTCCATCTTGATGCTTTCTTTTTGGTTTTGAGTTGTGTATTTCTTTTATTTCATCATCTTTCTTATTTTGATTTTGAGGTTTCAAGCAAAGCACTGACTTTACTATTAAGTGGCAGGGCAATTTAGTATCACGGGTGGCTGTGTAGTTCGCAGGAATCAAGTTGCTGTGGATTGCTGTAGCAATTGAGAGGCGAATAGAGCAGGCTTGAAAATGGGAGCAATATTTTACTATAGCATCGTGCAGCATCGTATGGCATTGCGACCCTTCACGAGAAGTCAATGGGTTTAAATGAGACGGCGTCGTTTTGGCAGTTATTAGAGCAGAATGTCAGCCATTTAAAACGACGGCATTTTGGGTTATAAATTCAAATTGCCCAAATTCAAATCCCATTCGATCCCTCATTTCAGAAATTCCCCCTTCTTCATTTCCCCTACCCTAGTTTTTAACTCCCTCATTCTCTGCCCAAAACTGTCGCTGATCTCTCCCACCGCCTCGCCTAAGAAAAAACTCCACTCCTGAAATCACCTTCACCATGGGCAAGAAGAGCTTTGCAAAGCGGCCTTTCTCCTCGAATCGACAGGATCTAGCCATAGATAAAGCGACGGCCGCAGATCTTTCTCCCTCGACCAGGCAAGTCTCAGCAATTCGCAAATTCGCTGATGATGCAGCGAAAAAAAGGTACGCAGAAAACATCCGGGCTCGCAATTTAGTAAAAGAAAAAGGTTTTTTACTGCATGATAGCCCTACCTTAGGCCAGCCAGGATTTATTTCTGATGTGATAATCTCGAGGGGTTGGTAGATTTTCTGCCGCCACCCAATTGACCCTATTGTGCCCCTGGTAAAAGAATTTTATGCCAACCTACAAAACCAGGGGCAAAATACGGTCTTTGTACGGGAGATTGATATCACATTTACCTCCAACCACATCAACGGTGTTCTTGGTATACAAAACCAAGACGATGAGTTTGTAGAATTGATTACTGATGCAACAGAGGAGCAGCTCGAGGAAGTCTTGAAAACCATTGCTATCCCAGGGGCTCAGTGGTTGTTATCTGCCAAGGGCAGCTACACATGCAATAGGCATGAACTCCAGCCTACTGCCAAAGTGTGGTACCATTTTGTGGCTTCCCGTTTGTTGTTATCCACACACGGGAAGACCATATCCAGAAACCGGGCCATCCTACTCTACGCCATCCTTGTAGGCAAGCCCATCAATGTGGGGCGATTGATCATCGACCAGATCCGAGCTTGTGCAGAGAAGGGAAAGGGCGGGCTGTACTTTCCATCTCTCATCTCAGAATTGTGCATCCAAGCTCAAGTTACATGGGAGGCGAGTGAGCCACGTTTGTGGAATACTGGCGTGATGGATTTGGTGGCAATTACTCACATTTCTTCAGGGCGGAGTGAAATGTCAGAAAAAGGAGAGGAAGAAGAAGAGCAGGATGAACCATCCAGGCCATCTACCACTCACACCGAATCTGCTTCTGCCACTCAAAGTCAGGAGTGGCTAGAGAAGAGGATGAGCCTCTTTAAAGTACAGCAGTTTGAAATGTTTGAACTGCTGCAGCAGCAACAAGAGCAGCTTCGCCAGTTCTGGGCCTATTCTCGGGATAGGGACATGGCCATAAAAAAATCCCTTCAGCGAAACGTTTCTAA